TCATAGAGGTTCAGGTCTTGGGTGCTTTTCATAAGGTTGAGTTGTATTGATATAGAGACGGAAGATGTGAACGATCAAATGGTAATGGTGGTTTAGTTTTATATATCATCTGCTGATAAGGGTGACATCCTTTTCATGTTTATATCCCCGACTTGTTTCTGCGTCAAGTTCGGGTTGATCGGATGTAGCCTGTTCTTGCCTCTCCTGAACGCAAGATTTGGAATTCGGAATATGAATCGAATACGGCTACCCTGGTCTAATAGTCAGAACTAGGAGTACTAGAGGTGCTCAGCCTCTTTCTGCGTATTGACCTCCACCCTTTGAGTCGGTCAGCTGTCATTCGATTATTTGACTTGATGACATTGTGCCACTCAACGCGTTATACAATGCAGTCTAACCAAAGATGCTACAGGTGCGTATCTTCGTATTGCGTATAGAGTTGTCAGCATGAGCATCGTTCGCTGACTTATCCCCCTTTGGCCCGTATGCACAGACCAGAACTGTGACGGCGTCCTTGACAAGTTGTGGGAGGGCGGACGACTCAATCAGTGCCTTCGTCGCTTCCAGGTTCCTTCGAGTGGCCCGCAGGTTATACTCGGCAAGTCCTCAGCGGTACGACAGCGCACAGTACTCGCCCGTCTGGCCAGCTGTCTCGCAGAGCCTGACCAATCCGTTCCCGACGTCAAGCAGTCGCGTCGGGAGAGGCCTCGCTCTGTCCTGAGAGCGCCTTTAATGGCCAGGGGGCTTGTAGAGTAGAAACCATAGTTGAAACTGCGTCGAATGCGAGCCGAACGAGACGACGACCGGTTCCCCTGCGACGGATGTTATCAGGACGGTTTTGACTTCGCCGACGGTCGCAGAATACCGATCATGAACATTGCTGATTAGCGTGCAGAATGGGCAGTTTTGGACTGCTAGTTTTTTGACAGATCGGATTGAGATTGGGATGATGAGTTCTTCAGCTTCGGTATCGTCACCTCCGGAGCGGGGTGAGAGATTCCGACAGCGGGGCAGGTGCCGTCTTCTGCGGACTTTGCCCCGCTGAGTCCGAGATGGCCGAGAATGTTGGAGAGAGCCATGGTGTGGTAGTAGACTTTTTATGCTACGGCGCTTCGTCGCTGAAACTATAGACGGAGAAAAGCTGAACGGAAGATGGCTGACGGTGTAACCATAGACGCGGAGTTGGCCATCCGCACTTCCGCAACCGACTGCCTGGGTCCGCAACGCGAAGATCTGGGTAAATATCTCCCAAGCGCGCCAATCATCACCAAACGAACAGTTTATTGGACTATCCGAGCAGAAATAAAAGATGTTGGACACGCTCAACTAGACGCCATGACCCGGTTCTCGAGTACCCGCGTCAGATCCCCTTTCTTGGCCCTCACGACAGCTCCTGCTCGACATCGTCCATCACCACAACCAAGGCCAAAATGAAGCTCTCGTCATTCTTGCTGTCGCTACTCTCGGCAAGTGGAGTATGCGCTCAGCTTCAGCAGATCACCAACTTCGGCTCTAACCCCAGCAAAGCCAAGATGTTTGTATACACGCCAGCCAATCTTCCCATGAAGCCGGCCATCGTAGTCGGGGTGCACTACTGCACTGGGACAGGTCAAGGATACTACAACGGAAGTCCCTACAAGCGTCTTGCCGACCAAAAGAAGTTTGTGGTCATCTACCCTGAATCGCCAAACTCGGGCGGTTGCTGGGACGTCTCCTCGCGAGCGACACTGCGTCGGGACGGCGGGGCGGATAGCAACGCCATCGCCAATATGGTTCGATATGCGATCACAACGTACAAGGCTGATCCGAACAAGGTTTTCGTGATTGGCGAGTCGTCGGGTGGTATGATGGCTGTGTGTCTTGCTCCCTGCTCCCTACTCCCTAACCCCCAAGCCTACCGTATCATGGCCACTAACGACGCGATCAACACAGAGCATCCTAGCAGCCGCCTACCCAGACCTCTTCGCAGCAGTGATAAACTACTCGGGCGTAGCAGCAGGCTGTTTCTTCACAGACTCGGTTGCAGGCTGGAACGGAGACTGCTCAGGCGGTCGGAGGAATCTCACGGCCGAACAATGGGCCAACTATGTGTTCGACGCATATCCGGGATATAACGGCACCAGACCACACATGCAGGTCTACCATGGGAGCGTCGATACAACCATTGCGCCGGCCAACTATAATTACTCGATTACGCAGTGGACGACTGTTTTTGGGTATCCCAAGTTGCCGATCCAGGAGATTGCGAACAAACCCGAGGCGGGATATACCACGCAGGTATTCGGCGAAAAGCTGACTGGCATTTATGCCAAGGGCGTGGGCCATGGTGTGCCAGTGCATGGGGATGAGGATATGAAGTTTTTTGGTCTCTAAGGACAGAGTCGTACCATGCTATCTATGTATATATGGATAACACGTATCATACCGTATAGTCCAGGACATGTACTGTATTTCCTTGAACAAGCTATAGCTTGATTTCAAGACTCAAGTCATTGATCTGATTGTACACCCACTATATCAGCACAAAGTTTGGGCAACACTTTCACAGCGAGGGGAAATAGCAAGGACAACGTCTGAGTCGCTTCGGTAGCTCAGCGGTTATGAATCTGCCCCCTCGCTGCCGACAACATTCCGCCACCAACATTCCGACAGCCCATGGGTTCGAGTCCGACAACGAACAAAACTCCAAACCCATAGAATCAATTTCTTCAAACACTTTAGAAAAGGCGTAATAGCCGTTTCCCAAGGGTCCCTCTTCGGAGGGGCTTGGAGCTTTTGTAATTTTTTGCCGACTAAACCTTTTTTTTTCTTTCGCTGTTATTCTTTGCTAAAACGCAACACAAGGTATACCGTCATTGCCAGTGCATCTGAGAAAGAAAACCGGGAATGGACTTTAGCTGCATCGTCAAAGTATCTACAAAGGTTGAGTGATTGTATTGCTCTGCTCGTACAACTGGAATCAAAGTCTCATTGACAGATACAAAAGGAAGAAGAAATTCAATTGAACGCCCCATGGCATGCTCATCCCCGACTCCTCTCAAACCGAAGCCGGTCATACCTCAGCACACTCTGCATCAAGACCTCGGCGCCAATCGCACAATCCTCGGGGCTGGTGTATTCCTCCGGGTGGTGACTGACCCCATCTCTGCTCGGCACAAAGATCATACTTGTGGGACATCTCCGGGACGCATACACAGAGTCATGGCCCGCTCCACTAACCATGTCCCTCACTAGCCTCTTATCTCCCGTAACCGCCTCCCCGGCTTCCCGAACGATGGTTATACAGTCTTGGTGAAAGTGCGTCGCCGGGGAGTCACTGTCTTTCCGCCATGACACTGAGAGGTCAAGTCCCTTTGTCATGTCCCGGGAGGCTATCTCTCGAAACGACTGTTGCAGCTGGGTCTCGATGGTATCGAGTGTGCCATCCTCAGGTGCCCGAATGTCGAGAGAGAACTTCACCTTGCCTGGAATGGTATTGACGCTCCCAGGTGAGAGAGATAGAATCCCTGAAGAGGCGAGGGCTGAATGGTTAGATGCGATTTCGTGTGAATGCGAGATCATACGGGCAGCGGCGAGGAGGGCATCGGCTCGGGCAGAAAAGGGCGTCGTCCCGGTGTGTGCTTCTATCAACATCAATCCTCATATGAGCAATCTTACTCCTGTATCAGGAAAAGTTCAAGAATGATCTCACCTCGCCCCGTAACTTCAATCGTATACCACCGATACGCCTGCACGCCGCAAACAACGCCAATTCTTTGCTTGCTCGCCTCCAGAATCGGCCCTTGCTCGATGTGCAGCTCAAAATGGGCAGCCATGGGGTTGGCCTCATAACTCGCCGGCAGGGTTCCGAGGTATCCGATCCGTTCGAGTTCTTCTTTCATTGTCGCCCCTTTACCGCCAACTTCTCTCAGTTCATGCGCCTGATGGAGCGGAATCTCGCCTGCCCAGACGCCCGAAGACACCATGGATATTGGGAACCGGGCTCCTTCTTCGCTAACATTTGTACCGTATGTTAGCATCAATACCTTATTCCATCAGTAAAACGAGCACTAACGAGAAAGTTTGGAAAAAGAGAGCCTCACTTGGTCCAATTAACCAAACCAACATCAAACGCCGTCTCAACGCTATTCTCTTCCAAAACCCGCAACATCTCCACTCCAGCAGTAATCCCCAGAATACCATCATACCGCCCCCCAGCAGGCTGCGTGTCCAGATGTGAACCGGCATATGTCGGTGCGCTCGCAATATCCGTCGCATGGCCGCTAATCTTCCCAGGCCTGATAGCAAAGATATTCCCCATAGCGTCGACCTTGACCACACACCCCAGCGAGCGAGTCGTATCAATGAACCAGTCCCGAACCTTTTTATCTGCATCAGACAACGAAAGGCGTGACATTCCTGTTTCTGTTTCGCTGAGAATTTCAGGAGTAGACAAGTGGTTGGTCCACGGTTTTCCCTTGCCCCATTGGCATGTGTGATGGAGCGTTTCCAGCAGTCGGGATTGATCGACCTTGAGATGCTGGGATAGAGAGCGAGGATCTAGTTCGTATGTTTTGAGGACTTTGCCTGCGCTGGAGCGATAAGCGGGTGAGGTGGACGAAAGGCGCTTTCTTATGTTGGTGATATTGGGCCGATGGAGATGGATAGCTGGGGCAGTAACAGCGAGGGAAAGCAGAGGGAGCGGATTAGTCCGGCTCCTTACCTTCGAAGACATGGCCTGGGAAAGCGGTGCCATGTTCAACCGAATGGGTTGCATCGAGGACGATGCATTCATTGAGCGTTTCAAAAAAGAATTCAGGTGATTATCATCGATGAGAAATGTGGTTATCTTGTCCCGATCTGCGATTTGAAGTTGGTGAGGGGCGGGGAGGACGGTCACGTGTCCACTCCTGTCATTACCCGCTGTGAAGCCATGTCTTTAATACGAGAGAGGTGATGTGGAAGAATGAGTCAAGAAAGAAGAGAAAGAAGGGAAAGAACATCTAGGGAAAAAAAATATATGCATTGGCTGGGAATCGAACCCAGCTCCCATCAGCAACCTTAGTTCAATGTGATGGATTCTACCACTAAACTACCAACGCCTTGAGGACTAGGGACTTTTGTCTGTTATTTGTGTTGTTCGTATGAAAGAACATATTATTACCGCTCTCATCCGGTCAGCTCGCTCCCTTGCTGCTTAAGCGAGAACCAAAGTACCATCTAACTTGAAGTTATCGGGTAACACAAGAATGGAGAATGTGGGAATCGGTGTTGCCTGGGATGGACTCACAGAGACGAACCTCAACATGTAACAGAGACCACCTCTTGATTATCCGTTCTGCTAAGTTGCTGCTGCTTTACCCGTTCGCCGAGGATTTGCGACCAAACCTCAATGAAGTTGGAGGGAGATTATCTCAGGCAGCAGCATCATCAAACCATGTCACTATTGGATGACTCTTGACTGTCCTCAAATCCGTCCTTACTCTCCTGATCGGGGAATAGCGCGCTTAAAGCAACCAACCGCGCCTGCCTATTTCTATTTCGCTCAGCTTGACCGACACTCTGCATTTAATCCAAACCTTTTTGCTGTCAACCAAGATTAAAAACTTGACTGAGCGCCAGTAGTTTAGTGGTAGAATTCATCAACCGAATTGGAACCCGGGCAACCGAGTCCCGCCTGATGAGACCCGCGTTCGATCCGCGGCTGACGCACTTCTTTTTTGTCTCCTCTTTAGTAATGCCATTTACATTCCATCACTTTTCTTGACCGGGTTTTCCCATTTCGTGTCGATACTGTGGAAGTCATTCATATAGGTTCACAGACAACTGCCGACCAGCCATGCATTGCAATCGTAAAAGTATTTTGAAGAGTATCATCAGTACCAAAGCAAGGTATATAGAAATACACGACGTTCAGACTAAACTACAAAACGCCTGTCATTAACACATTATAATACTTGTCCTGCCTGGTGATTGACTTCCTGCTTCATCTTGACCCAGCCAGGGAATACCACCAACCGACTCCCAAGAGTCAAGCGACCTAGTACGCGACTTGGGCATGCAAGCCATCCAACTCACGATCCCAGTTCCTGTGCTGAGAAATGGCATAGAAGAACTTCTCGAAGAATCCAGTGCAGCCCTTGGCAATGTTTACGGCATCCCTCAAGCCATCAGGCTTGATGTGTCTCATGGTAACAACACCATAGCTCTCATGAGCCTCTTCTGAGTCGGAAACAGTGACGGCCGGCAAAGCAATGCACTTGTTGACAAAGTCGACCGCCTCACCCGTGGCACCGATGGCTTTGAGATGGCCAAAGGCCTCGCGGACCCAGTGCTGAGCGCGACCATTGGTCGAAAGTGTGCGGATAGCATCCACGCCGCCGGGGATGAAGATGGCGTCGACCATGGTCGAGCGGTATCCCTCAAAGTGGTGGTGCGGTGTCACCGAGTGGAGGCCGCCTGCCGACATGACCTTGGCACGACGGGGTCCAATAACGAACGGTACGGCCATGGCAGCCGATGCGGCACCATACGCAGCATTGTATGCAACGGGGTCATATCCATCTGCAATCAAGATGGCGATACGACGCGACATGATGGTGGGCTTCTCGCCAGGGAACTCGAGCATGCTGATACCAGGTGCCTTGCGGCCATGGTTAGGTCGAGTAGCTTCCTTGGGAGGGTCGCCGCCAACCATCTCAGCAACGGTGGTTGCGAGACCGATATCGATGTCGGCAAGGCGGTTCACCATCCTTTCATAGACGACGGGGTCCTCGCAGTGGTCAAGCTCAAAAGCAAACGCATTGATGATGTGGTTCTTCTCGACCTGGGACATGGTGTTCCAGAAGAGCTGAGCTTGGCTGAAATGCTCCTTGAACTTGGCACTGCGAGCACGAGCCTTGAGTCCGGCCACCTTTTCGGCGTACTCGACGTAGGCTCCCTCCTTGACAGTCGCAGGTTTGACCGCGTCAAACCTGTTGGGATAGTAGTTGACGGTTCCGCGAGTAATGGTGTGTCGCAGCTGGCCGTCGCGGTTGAAGTTCATGACAGGGCAAACCGGGCGGTTGATGGGGAGCTCTTGCCAGTTGACACCCAGACGGGAGATCTGGGTATCGAAATAGCTGAAGTTGCGTCCCTGCAGGAGAGGGTCGTCGGAGAAGCCAATGCCCGGAACAACGTGGCTGGTGCAGAATGCGATCTGCTCGACTTGGGTGAAGAACTCATCGGGGTTCTTGTTGAGCTCGAGCTCGGCAAAGTAGCGAACTGGTACCAGATCCTCGGGCCAGATCTTGGTGGCATCCAGAATGTCAAAGTCAAACTTGTGCTCATCGGCCTCCGGGATGGCTTGGACACCAAACTTCCACTTGGGGAAGGCCTTGTTCTCGATAGCCTCCCACAGATCCTTGCGATGGAAGTCGGGGTCTTGGCCAGCCAGCTTCAAAGCTTCGTCCCAGACGAGGGAGTGAACGCCAAGTGTTGGGGTGTAGACAAACTTGACAAAGTGCCTCTCTCCCTTGGCGTTGAGCAGTGTGAAGGTGTTCACGCCGAATCCCTGCATCATGCGATAGGAGCGGGGAGTAGCACGATCACTCATGGCCCACATAAACATGTGTGTGGCCTCGGTGTGGTTGAACTGGAAATCCCAGAAGTTGTTGTGGGCGGTTTGTGCCTGGGGGACCTCGTTGTGTGGCTCGGGCTTGGCGGCGTGGATGACATCGGGGAACTTGATGGCATCTTGGATGAAGAAAACGGGAATGTTGTTTCCGACGAGATCCCAATTGCCTTCTTGGGTGTAGAATTTGATGGCAAATCCACGAACATCACGGACTGTATCTGCGCTACCACGGCTCCCAAGCACCGTCGAGAAGCGCACGAAGACTGGAGTCTCTCGTGAGGTGTCTGTGAGAACTGGGGCAAATGTCAAGTCTGAGGGTGATTCGAGGACTCTGAAGGTTCCAAAGGCGCCAGCACCACGGGCGTGGACGACACGTTCTGGGATTCTCTCGTGGTCAAATCGCATAATCTGGAGTGCTTATATCAGCAACCAGGTCGTGGTAGAAACCAATTGAAGGATCCTAACTCACCCTCTCTCGTGCAAAGGGATCCTCCAACAAAGCGGGACCTTGCTTGTCCTGGCTGGTGACCTTGAGCCAGTCGTCGGCTGAGGACTGCTTGACACCATAGTCCGTAGTCAGACGGTCCTTGTCCGAGATCTCCTTGGTTTCCTTTGCCAGGTCGTTGCTCTTGTCTCCCTGGCTGCCCATGACGGCCTGTTGCGCCTTGGCGACGATGTTGGACATGGTCACGATATTGGATGGTACTACTCAAAGGGTAGTTTGTTATTGGACGGTCGAGAGAGTTTGCGTTTGTTCAATGACTGATGTCCGACACAGATTTTGTTGAGGAAGAAGAATTCTTGAGGAGCAAATTGTTTTGTAGTGCCAGTCGGTGCTCAATTCCTTTTGTATGCCTATCACAAAAGAAACATCAAATCCATGACGTCAGGAGAGCGAATCGCCCCTCGTCGCTGCCCGTTCATTTCATTACGATTTTACGACTTTGTTACACGAGGCAAGGGGGGGAAAGAGGTCCAGTTCCCCGCATTGGGATCAGACCAGGCACATCTTTCATTTCCTTCGATGCCGTAACAGAAGACGATCTTCACGAACACAGCAGCGATGAAAAGTGATTCCCCGGGAAGGAAAACTTCATTGTGCCTGCATCGAGGATGCCATTGTGGTCAATGGTGATGTCATGTGCGGAGACTCTAGCAGATACTCCACATTTATTCCCGGCCCAGTGCGGTTGTCCATCAAGGTGCTTCACCCAATGTTTCTTGTTCAAACAAGCATACAACAAGCTTTTGCGTTTTATTTTAGCTCGCAGAAACTCGTTGTAGCTTCTCTCCACCACTGATAATGATCCTTTTGCTAATCGCATCCGTATCATGGCAAATCGCATCCTAGAACCACACGTGGAATCACCGTATTCTCGGCGGTAATGACCCGAAACGCCAAGAGGTAGGTTCGGGATGTGGGGCCGCATCGGACACGAACCCAAGCTGTTGATGTCATTGGCGGGGTACCGTCGCGGAGTAAATACTCCGGACCTTTACGGATCTCCGACACCCAGTGTGTGTTAACGCCGGCCATGAAAATGTCAAATTCCACAAGTGCTGATGTGAGAGTTCGATGGCTAGAAATGTCCTGTATTTGACCGAGAGACCTTGTAGAAACGGCCGTCAGTGGAGATCCTTATTTCAAGGTGCTTATCACCGCCGCACCCTATTCCAACTCCTGCACACTCAAGCGGGTAGGCTTAAAGCTTAACTTGATGTGGTCAATTCTGTGTGACAAAAATACAAGCCAATTGACATGGGAGAGGTACAAAAACAAGCCCCTGGATCAAAAAAACAACGAAAACAAATCCGCTCACCCCTGCCCCTCAAACTCAGGGCCAAGTACTCTGCTCATCGACCATGACCTAAGACTTGACCTTTCCCTGTCTCTTCAGGGTATACTGATACGAATAGTGACCCTTGATATCGCCCGCCATGATCCTCAACGCAATGACATTGTTCGCATCATGTCCCTCCTCGACCATGGCCGCCTGAACGGCCAAATCCGCATACTTCTTGGCCAACCGGTCCATGCCAATGTAGTTGTAATTCAGCGCTGCGTACTCGTAAGCATCCGCCAGCTTGACCTGCAATCGTTCCTGAGACACCAGATCCAGGAATCTAGCGATCAACTGCGGCGTGACCTTTTTGCTGTCGTGATTCTTCAGCTCTTTGAACAACGAGTTCAGCTCTTCCAGTCGGGCATCCGCCTTCTTGACCGCCTCGGCGTCTCCTCCATGGGTGCATGCCTGACACGGGCAAGGTTTGTTGAAGCCCCTGTGGTTCTTGACCCAGAGAGACCGATCAGGGCGGGGAATGAACGGGTCGATATAGGCAACAGTAAGTTCATCTCCCGGATTAATCCGCCTGGCGACGACAGTCCGCATCGTCAACCCACCATCGATGTACCACGCCACATTAGGCCGGCAATCATGCGGCAAAAGATTATTAATCTCGGGAAAGTTGAGGATATGCTTGGAGTGCATCTCGGGGTTATAGTTGTACCCGAGATCATACTCAAACGGCGAAGACAACATGACCGACTCGATAGACCGCTCAACCGACAACGGACCAAGCGGTTTGCGCTGCTTGTTGAATTTCGCCTGCGTCTCGTCGGGGAGATACCTGACTGCTGTATCCAGAATCCGTGTGCGTTCTTTGCGGCGCAAAACATCAAACACATCCTTATGGACGACCAAGGCCGGAGTCCATGACATGACGGGTTTTCCTCGCCGAATGGCTTTCTTCGCTTTGAGGGCGGTTCCACGGTCAGGCAAGTCGACCGTCTCAAATGTCCCGTCTTCTTGCTGGAACTTGTTGTCGGCCTTGTTGAAGGCGTCCTCTTGCCGCTCGACCTTTTGGTAGTCTTCCATGGTGGTCACCATGACCATGCCCCGCCCGTTGGCTAGTCTTCGGTTGGTGAAGATGCAGAACTTGTCGGCGCAGACCTTGGAGTACCACCATCCGTCTACAGGCGGCACGAGGGCTCCTGAGCCGGCTGCTGGGGCAGTGGCATTTTCCGAGTAGACGGTCTTCTTGTTGATTTCTTCGTAGGCGAGGCCTTCCTTGGATCCGCCCTTGGGGGGATCCGCTT